GAATCAAGATCGAGGGATCGCTCGCATAACGGATCCACTTAATTTATTAGTTTTCGTGGAATTTTTCCAATTTCACCCCCTTGCCTTCCATCCCCTTCGAGTTTATAGTTTATAAGTTTCGCGCGAATCCCGATCAAACTCGTCGTTTAGGAAGGTTTGCTGGTGTAGGGCGACGCGTGGCGCGTCTAAATTTAACCGGAAATCAGAGGTGGCCTCCAGAACGGGGGATGAGACGGATGGATGGAGATTGCGTGGCTGGTGGCTGGCTGGTGAAAGTGGCCGCTTCCCTTTTTCCTTCTGTCGCCAAAGATCGAAGCCAGCTACCCCTTTCGAACCGTAAATAAATCCATTCGATTTACGCGCGTCGTGGCAGATGCAGCTTGCGCTCGTATCTCGGTGGCGAAAGGAAAACAGCGGTGGCTTGGAAAACGTCTCTCGATGGCATGGACAGCTCTTGAACAGGCTCGATTATGCTCTTTCAAGAGCGCGTTGTGTTTTCTTAAGTGGATACAGCACGCGGGATTTTGCTTCGTTTAATTATATAATTTTTGTCCCCGTTTCTTCCAATTCTTCTAATTTTTATAATTTATTTGGAAAATGGCAAAACTGCATCGGATACAGAAAAGTGAACGAATCGATAAACATTATGGAAATTTAATTAATAGGAAATTGAATGCATCTGTTTTATTTCGATATTGATGAAAATCCTTTCGTAGGAGATCGTAGGATTTGGAAATTTGGAAGATTAAGAAAAGAATTGGTTGATTAATTTTTTCAAATCGGTGAAAATAAATCTGGATACATCGTGATTTCACTGGAAGCAAGATGCACTTTTTCCCCTTGAATTGAATCGATAAAGCGAGCAATGAGTTCGAGGAAATAGATCGAGGATCGGGGTGATTGATTAATTCTCTAATAATTGCAAGCATTGTATCTCTTCTCGGTAGGGGAAGCAAGGTTACGCGAGCAAAATTTCGTTTTCAGCGCGTTTGCCTGCAACGCACAAAGCAACCCGTGCAATTAAGTTAAATAAGATTAATGCTCGGCATGATGCAACAACTTGAATGGCGCGGCGTGTTTCAACCGCCTTGACGCGAATTCGTACGATCATTGGTACACGGGCCAACGCGAGATTAATTGCATCGAAAATGCAGAAAGCGTTGCGAGTAAAAGGCGAACAAGACCGCTCTCTGTCTACCGACCTCTGACTCGTATGGATTTGCTCGAATTTGCATTCATCATCAATTTCCGAAATTCTATCTCCACGTTCCACAAAGAGGTACACAAAGGGGTGATTTGAACTTCTGAACGGAATAATAATAATAAATAAGGATATTTCTTAATATTGTTTATAGATGTATATAAAAAAGATGTATAATAAAAATTTTTTTATACTTTATAGATATAAATATATTATCTACCTCATAAGAATCTGTTTTCAAAATTATTGTTGAAATTAATCATAATAAAATTTCATTATTATTCTGTTACTAAACCGAAGATTAATTTGTGCTCGAAAGATCAAATGTTGTGTAAGATTGCTACTCCTTTGTCTTCGACAAGACAACCAATTTGTCTCTCAAACCATCCACTTAACAACTCGTCAAATGATCACATTATTGTGACATGCCACGACAACGCGTGTATATATATATATATATATTTATATATACACATATATACACTCCTCAACCTCGAAGAAATCCTAAAGCGAGAGAAAAAAAAAATAAGGTACTCGTGCCCAGCTGCCTAACAGCGAACCTCGTCTTTTGCCGTCAACACTTTAACGACCTCAACCCTATTTCCTAACCCCCTCTGCAAGCACTAAACGGTCAAGACGTGGAACACGCGCGACGGTTTCCTGCGTTCAATGAACCGATGACGACTGGCAGCTGCAGGACTCTCAAGGACCTGCAGCCTCTTTTTTTTCTTCATTCTTTTTTTTTTTTTTTATTTTTTTCTTTCGACTCGAGGCCCTCTTGACCTCGTGACTCCTGTTTCCTTGCTCTTCGTCATAGCCAAACAGTCGAAAGCGGCAACCTCTCGACGAAATTCACGAAACAAACATTTTTAACCCTTTCCTCTCTTCGATCTCGAACAATCTTATCGAAATTTCGCATCGTGAAACTGCGTGTAATAGACCGGAAGAAGATTGAAATTCGTGCTCTGGGAGTAACGTACCTCTCGTCGATTCGAAATCAAACTTTACTTTTAAAATAAAATGGAAAGCTTCAGAAAATTGATTTGTAGATCGACTAGCGATTCTCAATCGATGACGCTTGAAATTACGTAAGTTTACAAATCTTAGAATTTAGATTTCTTTATATAATTTCTCACAGAATACACGTATTCTTGCAAACTTTTCTTCTTTTTTTTTTTTACAATTCAACTTCGTATTTCTTGAGAACTTTAAGAACATGGGTTCAGAAGGGACACGTGAGAGTGTTACGTTGTTATTAATTTCCGATTAAAACGTTAATTATCGAAAGGCTGAGCGATCGTTTTCGCGTGGAGGAAACCTTCTGATGGATTAATTGGACCACGACTAAAGGATTTTTTGCGTGGATAAAAAGCGTTTAAGAAATCGTAACCCTATAAGAAACATAACGATAAACTTAACTGGGAAACGGCACACGGAACTTGCTTAAATCGCATAGGATGATACACTTCTTTGCATGCTAGAGGATTGGTAAATCGAGTCGATGTCCTGATTTCTCGTCAAAGGGGAATCTTTAATGCGGTTGATCGGTTCGTTTACACTGATTATATTCTTTGAGGGATATCGTTTGAAAAAGAAACGTAGAATTCCATGTAAAATTTGGAGATATTCTGGTTTTAAAAAAATTAATTCCCAGGTATATTAATTAATATTTTACGATTTCGACGTAAAGATTTGATTCGTAACATCTTCCAAGAATCGATTCTCCATCGTGCATGCAATCTTCGTCCCAAAATTTTTTTCCTTCGAACGAATAACGAATGTTGGGATTTTGAAAAAATCCGTGCTGAAAGAAACACAGAAAAATCTCCGTTCTTCTGTTTCTTCCTTTAAGAATCCTTCCTCTTAAAAATCTTCGATTCTTCGACTGATCAATGGGCCGACAATTCCGAGTTACACGAGTATTATATTATGTTTCGACGATGAAAATGATTGCGCGACATGGCGCGACGAAGCGGCGCGGCGCATCGGTTAATCGGCATCAACGCGATAATAATGTCTGGCTAACGTGCAACTGGGCGACCCTCGATAATCCAATTGGACTTTACACCAATTGGACGATTCCGAATGGAAGCCGGTCGTTTAATCGCAGCCACCGTGTATACATCGGTTTTGTTTTCAATGGCCGGACGCCTGAATTCGTTGCACGATAGTGATCCACTGGTCCCTCCTCGTAATTGCTTAATTAGGTCAGCCGGGCAAAAAATAAGGATGGGATCATCGGCGGTACAAATTGTTTTGATGTTGATGTCACCGAAAATATCGAGCTGCCTTCGTCATATCGGAATTTCACGCTTAGCCGAGAATGATCTCCGCGGATGAAAAACAAGATCGTATCGTCGAACGATTGCGACACGAACGTTGACTGAACCGTTCCGTTCGATTTTTAAAGCTGGTAGCTCGGAATCGAATCATCAAAGTATTTTTTTCGACACGTTTAAACACGCGAGATTTGCATGTATTATTATTTTCTTTTTAATGGAATAAAAAATAAAAGGAGAGGGTGGGAGAGTAGATGTGCAACAGGTTGAATGTTCGTTTTTTTTTCCCCTTCTTCAAAAAAGTATCCGTTATTTTTCATCGAGAAATCAATCAATTTCAACGTAACGAGATCATCTATGATACGAAACGAGTAATTTCTCTCCGTCAAAACTCATGATGACCCGGTGAACGCAAACTTGAACGCACAGATATCAAAGTACAATTGCGAAGGGTTGAAACCCTCATCTCGATTGCAATTTCAATTGGTTGTACGGATGGCAGGGATGTCGATAGAATCATCGCAGAACAATGATGCGCATTTGTACTTGTACGCGCGTGTACGGATATCTATGTATCTATGTACCACTACGCAGGATGCGCGTTATCTGTAGATAGAATTCTGAAAAGCGATACTTGAAATAGAGAATTCGTTGAATATCGTGCGCTTCCTGAGATCTGTCTCTCGTGATAGTTTTTTTTATATCTTTAATGTTGTAGTTTATATTATTAAATAAATATATTCGATCGTATGGGATACGTATAGAAGTTTAAAATTTTATTACACTATTAATATCGTATATCTGTACGTAATTTTGTGACGAGCTGTCGATTCTTGATACAACGTAAGCTGACGTAACGTACGAAAGTGCTAATTCGAGTCTTGGTCCACGTACATGGTAGAATCCTATTGATATATATCCCTCGAGAATATTCGATGTTCCTATATCTAATGTCCTATCGCCACCATCCGGAGATTTACGCCCGGAAGAGGTGTATATATATATATATATCGAGATTTCGTCGTATAAGACAGATGAAACCTTACTGGCTCCCGAGAAGAGCATGGATTTTCGTCTCTATTTCACACGATTCTTCGTCGTCGATCCTTTCATCCGACTTTGTCATCAAATTTTTTTGCAAATATACGAACAGCTTCTTGTCCCTTGTGAGATAACTTTGATGACTTTTAAAAATTAATTCTATATTTTTATAGAATAATAACTTGGAAAAAATTTTAAAATTCTTTTTAAAATTGTTTGCGCTTCAGAAAGTTGTACTTCATAAAATATGGATAACTTCGTTGAAATTCGCATTTGATTTAAATCGATTTCTAAAAGATTCAAGGGAAGAACTGGCTATCGTATCTAGTTTCCCTCCGTGCTTCCCCCCAAATTACACCGATACTTTTCGTATCCATCGACCCTGGTCACGATTTCATTCATCGCCTCAAATTCGACGACGACCTTCCGAACAGTTTGACGGACAAGAGGAAATCGATAACAGGGTCAGAGCTACTTACCGCGACTTGTTGACTGTTAGTGGGGCTAGGGCTTGGGCTGGGCGTCGAATTCGGGGTTGAAATTTCGCCCGACGTGGGTGAGATCGAGCCTGTGGTGACGGTGCCAACTGTTGGAAACGCTCGTGCCGGATCCGCCTGCCATTGCTTATGGATTTGCTGCGAGGTATCCCGGAATCTAGCACCCTGCGGATAAAACCGTGAAAATTCAACGAACCGTTTTACTTTGATAATTAAATGGAAAACGATTCCATTTCTCTGTCCAAGTTAATATTTCCCTAATTAAAATTAAGAATTCATGTTTCGTGAAAGTAAAGTGGATTGCATTCCCATTTGTAATTGTTTGATGACAATTACGAAATGAGATGGAAAAAAAAAATAGAACGTTGATATTAAAAACGTTGCCATTAAGAAGACGGAATGGCGAACACGCGAATCCTCGAGGAATCAGAGCGCACGAGTCGCTTACGCACACCTCTGCGCACCGTCGTAAAACGCACGATGACACAGTTCGATTAGTCGCGGATATTTGCCTCCGAACAATCGTATCGTGAACGATAGGTTGCCACGGTCCAATGAAAAACTGGTTTCGAAAGACGCAATTGTTACCACGAAGAGGTACGAGTTTCGAACATCGAATAATCATTATCGAAATGAATTATTTCGAAAAAAAGATGAAAAAAGGCTGGGAAAATCGTTGTATCGTCGCGCGTATTCTTGAAATTCCCTCGTACGAAATTCTGAAATAGCCTTGTATTGTGAATATATATACATTATCCTTTTGGAAAAGTTTCGAAAGAATAAACGTGTCAAACACCTTATTGCGGAGGTTCATGGACCTCTTGAAACGTATCCACGAAACAAAAGATCGCGTGCGATCGTGCCACACGACTAAAACGAGCAACGTTTCTCGCTGTACGATAATTATAGTTACGCAACCACCTGCCATAATAACGATTAGCATAGCGGTATAATGGAAGTCGTAAGTGGAACTGCTTGCTTTAGACGAGAAATGGTTCTAGCTTCTCCTCTTCCTCCCTTCCCCAAAACTGCCCCCTTCCCCTTCTTTGAGATATTTATCCGTGTAAAGGATCGAAAACGTGGAGTGATGCCCTCGAGTGGCGCAATCGGAATTAATTCCACGACGAATGAGAATAATTTCCGAGAACTGTTCTCTGTGTTTACCTCAAAATTGCACAGGCACAATGCGCGCGATTCCATCCATCGTGGCTAATTGCGCCGTGCAATTGCATTATTCCCGATCGAGAAAAGGAATCGCGTGGCCTCTGTGTATTTCTTTTTCTTTTTCTTTTTCTTTTCTTTTCTTTTTTTGTGCGTTAAACAACCAGTCACAATTCACGATCTTCTCTCTACAAATTCTCCTCTTTTTCCCTCTATTTCTATTCTATTTTTCGTTTCTTCTCCATTTTTTTCTTCTTCTCGATCGATCAATCAACAAACGCAACGATGAGATTTATTAACTGACGATGTGGAAAAAAAAAAAAGAAATAAGGATCGAAAAATTCGTCACGCGAATATTTTTACATCCACGCACGATAAAATAGTAAGTGTACGGTTCTTTTTTTTTTTTTTTTCCAATTTCCACGCGCTTCATTAATTCAACAACGACGACGGGGCTCGTTTTAAAAAAATCCAATCTTCACGCACATGTTTTTACACGTCGGGCCACGTCTCGTCCTCGCTCTACAGGCCGTTCCTACGATCAATCTTTGTTCGCGTTGCATTTGAAAACGAGCACGGAATCTCCACGGTTCCCCCCCTCCAGCGGAGATAAATTCTGGATTTCTGGAATCCATTCGCGGATAGGGACAACGCTGTAAATCTCTCGCTTCTCGGATTAAATTTCGAAGATTCGAAACGCGAGCAGTGAAAATTTGTCCCGCTTTAAACGATCGGATAAGTCTATTCTTCTTTGATTTGAAAAATATCAAATTTTTTCCATACCGTGTTTTTGACAAAAAAAAAGAAACAATACCATTTATACACGTACCGATATACACAATACTATAAGCATATTTGCATTATTCAATTCCAAGAATATACCACGACGGAAAGGATATTGCGTAACGTTATCGAATAACTTAAAAAAGGCCAAAGGTTATCTTTTTTTCCCACGGAATATACATGAAATCGTCGTTACGTTAAAAGTCCAAAGAGAGAATAAATTTAGAAAGAATAAATTTCCAAATCACCCTTCCCCCGTTCAACTGATTCTAATGCCAATCACGGAAAATATAAAATCACCCTCTTCCGACCCGACATCCCACGAGATTGCTCCTATCCCTGCTGTGTCTACACACCTCGATAATGATCCGTAAGCGCGGCACGTTTATCTTCCTCAAGATATTACGACGAAACGAGCACGAACAAACGTAGGAATTAAAGGGTAGCCGCGATTGAAGGCCTCTCCGCGTTCGAGAGCGATCCGAGAGCTGGACGATCGAGATCGACGGGTATACCCGGTCTGTCCAGTATCGATCCGGTAGATCGTGGGGGTCGGAATACGGTACACCGCGTTTACACCACGGCCACGATTGCCTCCTCGTGTAAATAAAGGCGTGGTTTTAATTAAGCGACAAGCAGCTAACACACAGAGAGAGGGATTACGTAACACGCGTAATTAGGCAAGGGGCGAAATATATATATATAGGAATCGCGTAAGAGAGGTGTTTCGATCTCTCGAGGATGAAATATAAATTACGTATGTAACAGGGATGGGGTGAACGTTTCGCGTAAATACGAGGGATTAATTAAGACGGCAGACCGAAGAGATTACAATTTCTACTCGCGATAATGATAATGTCTACAGACTGGTCGATGTAAAGCGTTTATCTTAATTGCGCCAAGATTAATAAAATGCATGGGGAAACGAGCGAAACTCCGTTCCGAGAAAGCCGCTTGAAACTCGTCCAAAAGTTATCACGATTGAACAGCGTCGTCACGGTTCGTCGATAACGTCAAGATCGCGTGGTCGTTAAAAGGGAACGAATCGATTATCGTATATATATATATATATCCATGAATCCGAAAAAAATTTCGAAAATATATATAATATTTTCGAGGAAATTAGGAAAATTCAAAATTCTTTGCGTGTTTTCAACGTGATATTTTGCGAAAGGGGACGCTCGACGTATTTGCGTAATTTATACTTATCAAACAATTATTATCAACTATCAACTGTGCAATTACGTTAAACGAAACACAGTCGCGGCAAAGTGAGGCCGTTTAAAAAAATTAATTGTCTCTAATCCATACCGTTTACCGCGTTTACGTCGTTTAATCAACAACGGCGACAAAGATCTCGAAGAATAAAACGAGTAAAACTGCACGATCTGGAGCTTGCACGGTTCGGCTGGAACAGGCGTCAATGCGCGGCCCGATCAATTTTCCCGCTGCTCGTAAGTCACCGAGGAGCATGTTGCACGTACGTACGTGTACACACGTGTACGTGTACCCCGCTTCTTTGTGGTCGTATCGCGCGGACAGGAATTACGTGATAGATAACGGTTAATCTTACACGGTGATCTCGACGATCAGATATCGACGTTGATAAAGGAAAACACGGCGGCGAGGGTGAAAGAAAAACGGCAGATATCGATCATTTCCCCCGGATGTTTCGACGCTGCAACCAGATCCTATCCGATTTCCTTAATTAATTTTAAAGCAAAATCAGGATCACGCGTGATCGATTTATCACCGTCTCCACCGTTTCGTTACACATTGTATCCCTCGTTTATTATTAATTGCCATGGATAGATTAGAGAACCGTGAAGATATCTCGTGCCAATTAGCACGAGAGTGTCGTCCCAAAAAGACAGATACAAGATCCAGATAGGAAAATATCGCTTATCGGAATATTTAGAAGACTTCCCGATTCAAAGTGGGGGGAGAGGTGGGGGGATGATAGAACGTAATTACGTTTAAACTGAAATTGATTAATGATCGCCGTTCCCCCTAACTAACTAATGCACGATCCCACTCGACTCGAAAAATTGCGCCTCAACGTCGCGTGTATATATATATATTCAACGAATATACGCGAATATAGAAATTATTTATCTAGAATGGGCAACCTTGTTCCGGTTGGAAACATCAATTTGCATTCTTTCGATGACGCAGAAACGGCGTGGCTTAATGGCCACCTGTAAAAACACAGCGACCTCAAGAGCATGATATATCGCCTAGCTATTCAGGTTTATAGGTTCGCTTTATATATTTTCTATTTTTGTTTTTCAAACCGCGTACAAAATCTCTTTAACGCAACCAGCCAATTTTCGATCCTATCCTATCAATCCAAAATTATTCCAGATAAAATTAAAACTATTCGAGATATATTGCGAGTTATAAAAAAAAAGGAAAAGTTTTCCATAGCTTCTACGAAAATGTATCTCGTGTATTCGAATCGCTACGAATTTCCTCTTCTTCTTTCTTTCTTAATACCTCGCTAAAGAGATCATCCAGTTCTTTTCGCGACAGCTTTGCCTTCATCCCGCGAGCATTCCCTCGCATCGAGTTTGCCCAGAGAAGTCGGCCGAATTATCCGCTCTATCTTCAACCGAGTCGACGAGACGGAACTTCTTTATATGCGATCCTCTCACCACAGCTACCGTTCCTCTTCTCTCCTCCTTCCTCTTTAGACTCTCCCTCTCTCCCTCTCCCTCTCTCTCTGCTTCCCTCCGCCTCAGAATCCGCTACGTCTTTTTAGATACACAAATAGTCGATGACGCGAGGCGAAAACTGCGACGGAAGGTCGCAAGCTAATGCCCACATCGCACGATCGGCCCTCACTTTTCGCTCGAGCCGACATCGTACCGAGGAATGGTCTCGTGTCACGCTCCTCCTCCCCTCTCTGCCCGGCCGAGAGCTGCTAATTAATGAAACGTGGAGCATCGACAAACGTGGTGACACGATAGCCCGATTCTCTGCGAATTCTGCGAAAAAATATGGAACGGATATAAGCGATTCGTACGCGTATACGCGCGACATGGAACGCACGGCCGCGTCCTTGGTGGAAGGATCGAGATATCGCGATTTTTCGCCCGTCCGCGATTCCGTCCACGCCCTGGATTCGCGTGACTTGGCGCAGATAGGGCACCAGGTCCTTCCCGAAACCGATATCGATTCGCGCCGCGTCCTCTTTCGCGATGGCTTTTACGTCGCGGTGAAATAACACTCTGACGAAGCGAGACGAGGCTCTAATCAAGGACAGGACAGGTTAACATTCTCGCATCGATAATTCTTTTTTAATGGAGGATTGTATCAAGGAAGAGTTTTATTTTTCTTGCATTGGAAAAAGATCGATATAATACTTTTTCTTATTACTTCGCTCGATCCACTTTAATCCTTGTTGTTCTAGTTTTCCGTATTGACTTCTTCGAGAGCTACTCCTCGAGTCATTACGCGAGCAGTATCATTAATTATCAATTACCGTATCGTTCCTATCGATAATCACCGTATCCTATTATCGACAATTTTCTTCTTAACATCATCGACGTATGATTCCTCCCTATAATCGAGTTATTATAACGTTCGATCAACGACGAGCTTTCCACGCTGTTGAATTCTTCGATCCGCAAGTTCCTCGACGTTCTCCGCACGAAGAGCGGAGAGGGAAATTCGGAAATTCGTGGGATGGGACGATGATCGAAGGGATTATCCGCGCGTGACAAGCCTAACGTGCTCGAGCCTGGACGAGGTGTCCAGGAATTCGGCAAGAGTTTAATTAAATCGAATCGATCCCTGCGCGAATTCCAAGCGTTCGACCCCACTTGTCACCCCTCACTCTACCGCCCACGCCAAATTACCCGACCTCTCTTTTTCCATCTCGACTCGATCATTCCTCCGTGGCATCTCGTATTTCAGCCCGGTACTAAGATTTCGATCGATCGGCCATTGATACCGGTAAGGGCGTGTAAAACGTGTACGGTTTCTCAATGACACAACGAGGAGAAATCGACGCGATTTCTCACGGGGTTCGATACGACACGGAGATTCCTTCGTCGATCCGAGATAACTTTGTTAATTCGTCAATTCCCTACGAGAGTAATTATGGTTATGGGCGAATGAACGAACGATAGGATCAAGATTAGGCGTTACAGTTTAGAAAGTTAGAGGAAAGGAAACGAGAGAGAGATTCGGGAAGAGAATTCGTGAATCGGAGGAATTTTCGGGAAGGGAAAAATTTCCAGTATTTGGTCAGACACTTGGCCCTGTGTTTGCACAGCTGTTTCTCTTTTGCAAACACGGTCTGCCTTTAGTTTTAAGACTTACGTTTCGTCCAATTCTTCCTATTTATCACGAGAAAAGTTTCCAGAGGAAACTTTGATTCCTCCTAGCGGATTACTTTCTTTAATCTTTCCCGTGATTGAGAGGCGAGAAACTTACCGTCTCTTCGAAATTCGCTGTTCTTAGAGAAAATCTAAACACCTAACAAAGTTTGGAAGACCGAATCACTTAGAATCGCTAGAACTCTTAAATTCTAACCACAGTCAAGTTCGAAGTAGTAAAACAACAACACGATAGTTAATTTTAAAATAACCTAAAATCCAGAAAATTTTGCCTCCAATTTCTCAAATTTCAAGCCGGTCGGGCTTCAAAACCACCCTTTCGATCGAAAAAACTGTCGTTCCCGATATCCCGATATCCCAAGAATTCTCGACCACATTTTTCCTCCTCCAACCCCCTCCCCCTCTCACACGTTCAAAACACGAGCAGGATATCCACGTGAGAACGAAGCCGGACATAGCTCTGGATCCGCATAGCTCGAGGGTGGATAAACGATCTCTCGCTCGACCGGTCGGGGATCGAGATTGCACCGGCGGGTGAAAAGCTCTCCAGATCCTCGTGTCCACGGCTCTAATTTAACCGTTGGACGCCGTTTGTCGGCCGGCTGACAACGGCTTTGTCCCGTTCACCGCGAGAAATTCAGGTTACCCTCAAGACTTGTTACTCCTCTTCTTTTCCCCGGAAAACCGATCGGTCGGACGGGGCAGGCTTCACCTGGCGCGCCACGTAAATGTGTGCCACGTTTCTCACGTGCGCCGTTATCGTGCGCCCACGTTCCCCTATATTAAAACAATATCGCCGCGCTTTTCTCTTTTCTCTCTCTCTCTCTTTCTCTCTCTTTTCTTTCTTTCCCCAACGAGGAACGCCAACTTGTATTCCGCGTCGTCGATCCTATCGTTGCGAAATAGGGGAGGGGAAGGGGGATGGGGACAATCGATCCGTTTCGTAACGAACGGGCCGCATCCGCACGCGTATGGTGAATAAATATTTATACGAAAGTACGTAGAGCGTACGTAGAGCGTACGTCGCCAGAAGGAAGGAATTTCCTTTCCTTTCCTAGCCTCGAGTTTTGTTATGTAAATAAAAAAAAAAAAGCGTACACGAACGGCCGAGCATTCGTCCCGATGACGAATTTAACCGTCGTTTCTCTTATCTATCTCTTCGTTGTGTTAACTTTAAGAAACGCTCGTTGAAAAGAATTGCGTTGTAAAGAGAAAAAAAGAGTTTAAATATTTAACATTTTTTAGAAAAATGCGTGCAATTGGAATTGTTAATAAGGGGATAGGATTGGGGACGAGGGATTACGCGCTTAGAGTAGAACAAAATCGATGTATAAAATATTCATGAGCCGAATAATACACGGGAGATTGAAGTACAAGGACTTGGACGAAGATTACACAAATTACTCGGTTTAATCTACACAACAAGTGACTAAATCTTTTTCAATCGACTTCAATTGTTGTGCAATGATATCTGCGCAACACAAGCATCGCCACGTATAATTCTTATCGAATTCAAAATTTTCTTCTCGCGCGAACGGGAGACGGGACAGGGAGAGGGAAGGAAGGAAAGAACAACTTCGTCAGAGTGATTCGTCTGATCGAAACGCACTTAATCCGATCGATCGATCCATCGATCTATCGAGTTCAACTGACCGAAAACACGCGAAAAACAACGCGAGCTAGTTTCTCACGAGCTACGAGGACGGAATCGCGCGCGCTACGTGCTCTCACATGTATCCACGTACAACGACTGGCGGAGGCAGGAGGAGATCGTGGCGCGCACGAGTTCCACTCCACCAGTTCTCTCGCGCTCAACGGACGGGACGGAGGATATTTCCAGTAAATATTTATCCATATAGCTCCGGGGAAATAGATCCGTACCGACCAGGATCCCAGAAGAAGATATCAGAGAGAGCCGCCTTTATAGATCTCCTTTATTCCCTTTCCTCTCCCGCGGCCGAAACAATAAAACTTTTACGACGACGGGTCGTCGCGATGCTAATGACGCAGCCCCCTCCCCCTCCTTCCCTTTCTCCGGCTTCAGGAATCGGACTTAATCGAATTGAAAGCTTCTCCTCGAGAAGCTCGATTTTAAATGTCTGCCCTCTCTTCCATCAAGTGTCCCTCCTCGAAATTGCAATTTAATTATCGTCGAAACGCTTCGTAAAAGCGGGCGAACATAGGACGAGTATATAGTCGTGTCGTAGAGCGGCGAAACTACGACGACGACGACGACGACGACGCTTCGAACGAAGCGTAATTCGATCAAACGGAGCCAATTTTACCGACGTACACGCGCACACGTTACACGCGCACAAAGTAATCGTTCATAGGATCTTCGCTCCTCTTCGTCCTCCCGTCCATCGACGAGATAATCGTAAAATAAACGGTGATCGAATGAAATTCGGCGGGTCGAACTTCCGAATCCGGGGATCGAATCGATTCCCACCGCGTATGGACGGATACGAAGCACGTAACGCGTAAATATCGAATATCACGCAAGAGTGTAAACACGTGAACGAGGAACGAAGACGAATTGGCAATTTTCCGCCTGGCACGGAAATGCTCCGCGGCTCGTGGAGATCGACTGCTCTCGCTCGACCAACGTGCGCCTGCACGTATGCGCGTAC